ATTTCAATTATTTTTCTAGACTAAATTCATCAATTTTAAAAAGAAATTACCAGAATATAATTTTTTTTCTGTTAATAATGATAATGATGATGAAAAAAGAAAGTAATTAATAATTCAAACAAAACAGAAACAAAATTTAAATTTTTTTATTATTATTTTTGTTGGGTTTCTCACGGTTGAATATAAAAATTTAAATTTTTTTTTTTTTTGAAAGGTCAAATTTTCAAGTTAAATAATATTTTTTGTGTGTGTGTGTGTAATTTTTAATGTATAAAAATTTAATAAAATAAGTTTTTAATTTATTTGATTATTATTTGTTTGGGGGGAAATGATGGGGACACCATTTTGGAAGTAAATTTGAGTAGACTTTAACAAAAGGGAAATAAAAAAAAATCATTAATGAATAAATTAATGATTTAATATTTATAATAAATTTAAATGAATTACTCTTTTAAATGATTTACTTCAGCCATGATTAGTTTTTCAAGGTCGTTTGATAATAATAATAATAATAATAATTGTGTATTTCTTATCAATTCAGTTTATTTTTAATGTTTTATTTTATAAATAGGGGGAAAATAGTTTTTCTGTAATTTTCATTTGTGAATGTTTGAGTTTTTGTTTTTTTTTTATTTTGATAAATTATTATATTGCTTATTGGAATTTTAAATAAGAATTAATAAATGAAGTGACAAATTAAATTATTATTATTAATTAAAAAAAAGATGAAATCTTAATAGGTATGAGTAATTATTTAAATAATTAAAGTGAAATTTTTTAATAAAGTTTATTATTTAGGGGGGATTGTTATTAATTGAAAAATATGCGAGTGGGAAATTCGATATTATATAATAAAAAAATAAGGTAGAGTATTTTGAAAAATAAAACTAATTTAAGAATCTGAATAAAATTAATCTAAAACGTTTAATAAGAAAAAAAAACGAGAAAAGAAAAACGTTTATCGAGCAGTGTTAGGATAATAAAAAAAAACTTACTCTATGACATTATTAACGATTGTCAAATAACTATTTCGAGTAATCGAAATTACTTACGTCATGGCGTTTGATTGTAATTGATAATTTTGATTACAAACCAGTTTGGTAACATCTGTATTTATACATATATAAGTCTTAAAGCTGATTTAGGATTTTTTAAATTTAATATACGTAATGATGTATTTTTTAAATTTAGTTTAATTAATGAAACCAAATGGAAAATTTGGTAGAATTTGGTACAAGTTCAAATGAAGGGGATGAAGTTGAAGAAGGACCTTCCGGTGAAAGGTGGCCTCCTTTGGGTGCTGCTGCTGTCGAAGACGAACAGCTTTGTTGTCCAGACTTTGATTTCGAGTAAATCTCCCATATATATATATTCACTTGTTAGTAATTACTTT